AGTGAAGAGGGAGGGAGGGAGGGAGAGAGTGAGTGAGTAAGAGAGTGAGAGTGAGTGAATCAAAGACATTCTTTAGATATATTATAGATTGAGTTTTTTATTTCTGACATGGAAATTTTTCCGTTTGAAAAATTTCTTTGAGGCATATGTTTAATTGCTTACTAATTCTGTCTTTAAAACAAAATGGTAGTTTGAAAAATTATCTAAAAAAGTAAGGGGATACACACATATTCCATGGTTTATGAGGAAAGAGTAGGAAAACTAGACCGTAATTTTGGTAATTAGGTTTTGGTAGTTCTTGGCATTTCTTAAGATATCAAGACCCAGTCCACAAACATCCACATCAGGAATAGGAAAGGCTCTCTCCGGAGCTTCAGAAAGAAACGCATCTTTCTTATTGGCCAATTGTTGTCACAGATGCTGGCATCCAAGGACATCTTGGGCTTCTTGTCCAATCTGGGGTTCTTGCTGCCACATACTGGGTTTGTCATGTGATCCACTTTCCTGTAGATTCTTATTATAAATTATATTGGATGCTCAGTTCACAAAAAGACAATTTCTTGCTTTTTTTATGCACTGTATAAGGTTAGATGGGACAGAAATCTGAACTAGGTAAACCAATACTGATTTTTTTGCATATGCCCAGAAGATGAACCAATTTCTATCACTACTTGGATGAAAATTTAACATCCTAAATTGCTAATTTGTGAATAAATTCCAAAAGTGTAGCTCTTGATAGATTATTGACTTGTATTATAGGACAGATGCATTTAATGGTTTCTTTACTAAGAAAGTAAGTTAACAAATAAGCGTGAGGAGTGAGGTATGCTGACGAATTGCTGTTTTCATTTTATCACCTATGACCCTGAATTAAATCACTTTTTATTATTTAAATGTGACCTTGTTAGCCTTACTAGGACATGTTCAGGTATAAGTATGATTTTTAAAACATTTTAAAAAGTAATTTAGCTTTTTAGCCAATTGTTAAACCAAATTTACTGCGATTTTGATTCAAAGCAACTCTGCAGGATAGAGTAGAAATGTGTCTGGGTTTCCTAGGCTGAAAAATCCCCGTGAGCAGAAAGCCCCGCCCTTCTCCTGCACAGCGGCTGGTGGTTTCACACTGCTGGCCTTTTGGTGAGCAGCCCGTCGCTTGACCCACACCACCTCCAGAGCTCCTTCCAGCTGTTAGGGAGTGTAGAAAAATAGTTTTAAAATTTGTATGTGATATTTTAATTTGAACATGTATCACTGGGTAAACATCCGTAATACTATTTTGTATTCTCTAAAAATTGCTACTAAAGTATGGGTAACACTGATACCTTGCCTATCAGTAGTAAAGCCAGGCAGTCGGCCTCTTATTAGAAACACTCCGCTCTGGACGGTATATCTGTTACATTCAGTTTAGCACACTCAGTGTAGCACAGGGACATTCAGTCTGACTCTGTTGTTTCATCTTATCAATTCCTATGTGTTGTGATCCAGGGGACAGGGTAGAGCCGTCCCTGTGAGTTTCTGAGACTGTCACTCTTTATAGGCCTCACCAGATAAGTGTACAAGGGGGCTTTAAAAAAATTCATGGGAAAATTCCCTTATCTCATATGCATTTTCATGTGCTCTTTTTGAAGTTCTCTTGAAATACTGAGAGAACTGGTCTGCAGCCATCCATTGATCACAGAAAACCCATTGCTATTGAGTTGATTCTGACTCATAGCAAATGGAATCTTTCTCTGAGGACCCTAATTTATAACTGTCGCCTCATCTTTCTCCCAGGTTTTTGGCATAGATCTGTATGTATGAATGGGAACCCCAGTAACAATATTTTTCTACTTACCCTGGTATAACTGTACCAGCCGTATTTTGGTTACTATTTGTATGTGACATCTTTTTGAAATATATTGTCAAATTCCAGTCAAGAGACAAAACTACACAATGATTTAAACGGGGAAACTTTAATGTATGTAACTTAAAAAAAATTGTTAATAGAGTGTTGGAATAATGAAAAATTGGCTATTTTCAGAGCTAAGGGATGCAGCCTCCTTCCTAGTAAAAGACTGAGCACCCAAGGAAGATGTGTCCACACTTCACACCTCACCCCACACCCTTCACAGCTCACCAGAGCTGGTCGTATCTGTCTGCATGGAGGAGACAGTCAGGTGCCTTGCTGACAAGAGTTGCTGCAAGTCTGCCCTTTGATGGGTTCAAGAAGGCCATCCATGGGGAGATGTGCTGTGCTTTGTGGCTGGCTAGATTTGGGAGGAAGCTCTGACAGCCTCACTTTGCTAGAACCCTCAGCAGGAATCCAGTGCATTTCTCTGTGTGAAGCGGACCTGGAAGCTGACCTGTAAACAGTTGGCTCTCTACTGCCCCTGGTGTATATGTCCACACCTAGGACTAAAGTGAGGCCGAGGTGTGTGGAGCAGCACCTATGCTGCCTGAGTGAAATGCTGGAGGGGGAGGGCAGCCAAAAGCTAAGAAAGCCCTGGTCTGCAGGAACCTAGTATTGAGAGCTTCTCAGACCTACTAGTAGAGAGAAAATACACTCTGCAGAGGCCTGAACTAGGAACCAATGTCCTTTAAGCGCCCTCTAGGGATGGGGCTCAATCCCTTGTCTGGATGAATCAGTGGACCTGGGCTAGGATTCAGATGGGTAGGAGTTAGCGTGTGCATGTACCAAGGTTGTGAGCGAAGGGAATATGTTAAAAACCATCTATTTGAACAAGAAAATGACCAAACATAGACTTTTCACTTATAAGAATGTGGAAGAAGAGGGAGGGAAGCAATAGTGGCTTTCAAGAAAACTAGAAAGTATTTATATATTTTAGAAATATAAGGGAGCTTAAAGAGATTTGCAACAACTTATTAATCAAATAAAATCAGAATTTCCAACTATGTAAATTATAAATTATTTTACAGGGCATAGTCGCAGAAGTTTCAGAAGTCTATACATTTTATAAATTTCTTTGTTAGAAATAACATTTGCAAGGACAGTTTTTCTCTTTGGATGTAAAAATATATGTGCTTTTCTGAAGGTGTAAGAAAGAGATTTGCTCTTTTGTTTATATTTGTACACTGTTCCCAGGTAAATACGTGTACTAGTTCTTTTTAAGGAGGAAACTGTTTAAACACTTAGTAGGTAGGACTCTGAAGCCTTAGCTTCTTGCTTAAATATCCAAGAAACAAATTATAGAGGAACCAGTGTTTAAAAAAATCAGTGTAGTGAAAGGTAAATAGTTGAGACCTAAAACTATATTTTAAAATGTTATTGATGTAATTCATGTTAGACTTGAGACTTTAAAGTATAATACAACTTTCAGGCTCTGGGGCTCTCTTTGTACAAACAATTAGTATGTTAGGCTATGGAGCATTAATTTAGAAGAGAAACTTTTCTTAACTGTGAGTCTACTTTTCTTCCAGCAGAGTTAGCATTTTGTTGAGTGGACTGTTATTGCCGAAAAAAAAGCTTCTTATTGCACTTTAATCTCTTTACCCAGTATAACATGCTGTAAATTGTGCATAGTTTCTCCTGAGTAATAAGAATTTGCCAGTGCATGAGTGCCCTTAAATGTCAAATGTGTGTATTTATTACTTTCATAAATACCATGAAGATAGCAATAAATTTGTAATTTGTAATTAAAGAACCATAGGTACTGAAATGTCTTAAGACTTGGGTAACATGATTTTTTTCTCACTGAGTAAAGGAATTGTAATGGAATTATACACACATTGCTTGACAGCGTAAAGTGATGGCAGTGCATCTAGTTTGGGGTTTTGATGTAAGCAACTTTAACAATAATACAGTACAATCACCAATGTTAAACACTGACCGTTACTAGTCCTTAATGGAAAGGAATACTTAGAAAGATGGGCCTCTTTTTATTAACAAATACATTTTCCTGCTATGTGCAACTTTAAAATATTTTGATGCTGAATTATTTTTATGGTTTATTTAAACACATGATATCCCTAAGAGCACGCACAAGGTATGGATGCCCACTTTTACCACATTTGTTCAGCACAGCCATAGGATTTATTGTACAAGCAAAATAAAAGCAAATTCGAAAAGAAGAACTTAAATTCTATTTTCAGATGTCATGATCTTGTATCTAGAAAACTCTTAAGGACACTGCAATACTAAAAAGTTAATGCATGAAATCAACAAAGTTGCACGATATAAAACCAAGAATCAAAAATTACTTGTATTTTTACATTCTGATAGAATGAACCATCTGAAGAGAAAGTTAAAACAATTACATATATAATAACAGCAAAAAAGAATAAAATAATTTTAAATAAATTTAAGCAGGTATAAATAAGGCTAGTAGTGTAATGTTATGCATTGAGTTATTACCCACAAGGTCAGCAGTTTGAAACCACCAGCTGCTCCACTGGAGAAAGAAGAGGCTTTTATTCCCGAAAGGAGTTACAGTCTTGGAAATCCAAAGGGGCAAGTTCTACTCTATCCTAGGGGGTTGCAATTAGTTGAAATAGACTTGCTGGCAGTGAGTTTGATTTTTTTGAAAGACTGTATACTTAAAATGATAAAACATTGCTAAATGAAATTAAAGAAGAACTAAATAAATGGGAGCTATCTCATATTCTAATCGTTATTACCATGGGACCAATGATAATGGCAACCACTTACTGAAGGTTTCCTCAGTAACTATGTCATGTTTTATCTTACATGTTATCTTGTATCGACTATTTTCAAACTTAAAATAACCATGGGGTGATAGGTTGCCCTATCACCTATCATGTGAGGAATAATTACTGAAAATATGGCAAGTTATTTCAATTTTCTTTTTAAGTGCATCTGGTTGGAAACCATTTTTAGATTGTATTTTGTAGAAAGTACATATGAATAGTTAATTCACTTTTATGCCCCTGTGCATTGATTTTTTTTCTCCTTTATGTTTTAGATTTCTGTATGAATCATCTACGAAAACATTGGGCGAACTTTTGAATTCATGACCAAGTTAACATCTCTGGACACGTAGAGCTAGAGGAAAAGGACTTAAAGAAAATATTTGACATCACTTTTATTTTCCCAGTGTATTTAATACCATGCCCCACAGGGAAGGGTGGGTAGGACTTTTTGGCAGGGGTTGGGGAGGGAAGTTCAAGTAGAAAATCCAAGAGTTTTTTAAAATTGCCTGGTACCCACATAAGTGATATATTTAATGTATAAGGTCCCAGGTAAGTTTCCATGATGCAGAAATTAAAAGTGCAAAAATAGGGAAAAGGACAGATTTTCCTACGAAGCCATATATCTGTATATGTATATCTTCCAAAGGTTTGAGAAAAAAACGGAATTTGAAATAATGAACGTTTTCTCTGATGTTTTTGAAATCCCCATATATGTTGTTTGAAACTGTAAGTAATAAAGCGAGTTTGTATTTTATAATAAAATATTAATAAGTGTTTTCCACTTTAAAGGCAGCGATTGATTTCTTAGATAAATGCCATCTCTGTGAAGCCATCTGTGAACAAAGAGACCGAAGGGATCGCAAAGCTAGAGTAACTGATGCTAGGTGTGCACGAGAGAGCGCACCGATGGCTGTCAGTTCTTCCCGTAAGGAACAGCATGGAAGGAGTCTCCTTTGTTTAAATGATGTTTTACTACATTCAAACTTGGGTCCTATGACTCTGAATGTGAGTAGCAAAGAAATTTAAGTAATTTAGCCTGAAGTGTTTCTCTGCTGTTTTGTATTTTCTCTCTAAGAGCCATCACAGTTAGAGGGAAACGTGTCAGAGGAAAGTGTGCCTGGGCTTTTTTCTTTGAATGTCCCTGACTCCCTTGCACCCACCCTGTTTACCTGTCAGATTGTGTAGTTTTGGGGCCCTGGTAGTCAGCGTCCATAGCAGATGGAAAGTCAGTGCTATTTATATCATTCATGCTTCTTTTAACTCTTATTCTGGTTCCAGATCGTTAGCAGATGTACAAAACCAATTCTTTCTGTAAAAAGCAGTTCCGGTCAAACAGTAGGTTACGGGTTGGCTGGTAACTGAAATCCAGCGGCTGCTCTACAGGAGGAGGAGGAGGCCGTCTGCCCCTGGGTACAGATTTACTCTCTTGGTCTACTCTGCCACAAGCCAGAATGTGTTCCATGGCGGTGGATTTGGCTTAAGTTGGATATGAGAATATATCAAAACATATTGATAACAACACCTTTACTAAATAAAATATTGAAATGTGAAGCTATTCTTTCTTCACAGGTGCTGTTTCTATCTCTCTAACCCTTGATTGAAGAATTCCAGGCTCTCTTTTTTTAGCATAATGTCCCAATAATGGTTTGGACTTCCTCGAAGGACTCAGATGAAATGTTCTCCAACTTTGGGGAACAAAAATAATTTAACAAAAATTTTTAGAAGAATTATTAAATTTAATAATTTAAATAAGATATCAGGGTGAATAGAATAAGGTGTAGCAACAAAATTCTCGTAGGATATAACCCTTGTTACTTAGGAGAATGAGCAGCTGCATTGTGATGCAAAAGGATTTCTCACTGTAACTGACTTGGCTTTCTCATCAGTGCAGCTTTCTGTTTTCTTAAAACTTCTTCCTGATAAGCCCTATGATTTTTCTGTCTCCTTAATGAAAATGTGTCTATTGGGAATTTTTTTAAAAATCACCATAAACCACTGACCTGACTCTCTTCCTTAAATGTAACTGACCCAACAGATGTCCTTGGAAGCCATTGTTTTGGTTGGACCTTAAAAAAAAAAAATTTCACTCCACCAAAACTAACACAAATATTTTACCAAGAGAATGTGTCTACAGTTATCCATTCTACAGGCATATTTAAACACACTTTCTTTGGAATAAACCCATGCATGTAAGAACTGGAACTCAAATAGCAAGACTTTACTGTTATATTTCTCTACAAAGGTACACAAAAATATACTTGAGTATATTTTTACCATATATACTCGAGTATAAGCCGACCAGAATATCAGCTGAGGCACCTAATTTTACCTTAAAAACTGCATTAAAAATGTGATGAAAAACTCGGCTTTTACACGAGTATATATGGGAGTTAATGTACTTAAATGTATTTCGATTTTAAGGTTTTACTGCAGTATCTTAGGTTGGGTTCTGTAAAGAAAACAAACCAGTGAAACTTAACATAGAGAGGTTTCTATCAGGGTCGTGGCTCACAGTTCTCGAGACGGGGTTTCAAGTCTGTGGGTCAGATGTCAGGCCAGAGGCTTCTGATTCATGTTGCTCCAGGAGCTGATGAGCTCAAAGACAGGCTTCTGGCTGCAGAGGTAAATGATTCCCAGGTCGACAGAAGATAAAAGGTTGATGACTGCCAGGACCAGCAGGCCGCTGGCCCAAGTACCAGAAGTTAGATGGGGAGCCAGCCCGAAGCAAACTAATTCACAGCTTCCACTTAAATATTGGAAAATGCAATACCTCCGAGTAGGTGTCACCTTGGCGCTTCGAAGGTCTAACCTGCTCAACCACTGAGAATCTGGCTCAGCCACAGTGACCTGAAGTTTTCTCACAGGAGGCGTGACTAGGAAATGAGAAATGAAGTTGGGATTAATATCACAACTGTTTATCACTATCAATAAACTCATTTTGCTATGATTTAAGATTGTCACTTATTTGAACATGTGAGGGAAAGATGGCTAGTTATCCCCATTAGTCCTCGTTTTCTATAGAAATAACCATCTCATCTTTAAAATTATATATATTGACAATTCACATGTCATACAATTCAATAGTTTAAACATGTTAAAAAGTACTGTGCACATATTTGGCCCTTTAAACTGACTACACGATCATGAATCAAGAGCACATTTCTCTGCCTTGCTTGCATCTACTTGTGACCGTGTATTTATACTTCCCAATAAGATATTAGCAGAAGTGTCATGTGGCACCTTAAAAAAGATAAACTTTGGGTGAATTGGACAGATGGGAACGGTCTTAATTTCTGTCTGGGAATATTTTAGCACCACCCTCATTCTTGAAAGGGATTTTTCACAGTTCATGAGGCAAATATCAAACAAAACCACATTGTAAGAACTAATACTTGTCTTAGATTAGGGTTTACAATTAAGTACAAACTTTGAATTGTAAAAATTGGCTGGGTTTATGATGCTAATATTAGAATTATTAAATATCTCATGGACGCCATAAATTATTTCTCAACAACCTGATAATGCTGCCTCTAAGTGGACCAGAGATAGATAAAAACTTTAGGTATACAAATGGATTTTGAGCTTGCACTTAATTGTAAACCCGAATCTAAGACAATTCTTATAATGTGCCCTCATGAAATGATCAGAGATATGGGTGCTATGGGAAGTGTATTGAAGAAATCAAATGTGCCCAGCTATCAGAAAAAAATAGCATCTGGGGCCTTAAAGTCTTGTTAGAAAACAATCAGCCATCTAAGTGTCAGCTAAGTCCACATGGAAAGAGTACCCCAGCCTGTGTGGTTCAAGGATGGTTAAAAAAAAAAAAATTCCAAGAGCAAGAGGAGGGAATTTTATTATAGCTTAGATTCTGAGCACCCTGTTTGCAGAAAGCTGTGGATGACAGTGGAAGCTCAAAATCCATGTGCAGTCTGCTATCAGATTAAGCTGCTGCTGAATTCCCTTGCATATGAATAGTCTTACCCTCAGACAATGCATTGAAAAGTGGATTACCATAGATAATCTCTGCCATTAATGCATACTTATGGTGGCTATAGGACAGGTTAGAACTGCCCCTGTAGTTTCTGAGACCTGGACTGTAGAGTAGAAAGCCCTTTTTTCTCCCTCAGAGTTGGCTGGTGGTTTGAACTGCTGGCCTTGTGGCTTGCTGCCCAGCGTGTACCGACTGCCACTAGGGATCCCATTGTAGATATATAGGTAGGTAGGTAGGCTAAACTTGAGCATATTGTTTTCCCTTTTGACCCATTTTTAATTTGTTCTGGTTTATATTCTGCTTTCTCTTGTATCAAGGTTTTTCTGCCTTTTATTTTGTTGTAGAGATTTTGGTATGATTTTCTTTTTATGAAATCCAGGCTAGATACTGTACTTTAACTCATTATTGACATAATTTGCTTACTGTATAATTAGTGCTTTAAAAGTATTAAAAAGAGTTGTGTAATCATCACAATTCATTTTAGATGATTTTCTTCATTCTTATCCATTATTATTTGTGCCTCATTTTCCCCTGACATCCTTTGTCATAGCTCTTAGGAGATATTAGTCTAGTTACTGTCTGTAGATTTACCTATCCTGGTTTTCTTTCTTTTTTGAAAAAATCTAATCATTTCATTGGGGGCTCCTACAACCTTTATCACAATCCATACATCCATCCATTGTGTCAAGCACACTTGTAATTTGTTGCCATCATCATTCTCAAAACATTTGCTTTCTACTTGAGCCCTTCCTATCAGCTCCTCATTTTTCCCCTCCCTCCCCACTCCCTCCACCCTCATGAACACTTGATAATTTATAAATTATTATTATTTTGTCATATCTTACACTGTCTGACGTCTCCCTTACCCACTTTTCTGTTGTCCATCCCCCAGGGAGGAGGTTATATGTTGATCCTTATAAAGAAAATCATATAACAACCCCCTCCCCAACAACAAAATACAGAAAAACATCAACCCCAAAGAAAATAATAAAAACTAAAAAGGTTATAAGTGGGTCAAAAAGGAAAACAAAAGGTAAAATGTTGAATGTCAAACTAATTATATTTATAATAATATGCTTTCCAATACTCTCTGAGAACAAGACTATTTGCCTCCCTGGTCAATGGTCTGGGAGTTCAGTGTAGGCTTAATCCATATGCTGACTCTGAATGGATTTTGAGCTATTTCTTGACATAACATCGATCTAGGCTATACACTTCTTAAGGTAGCATTTTTTTTCTCCCTAACCCTTCCTCAAAGAATTCTTCAAATCTTGATTCACACCACCTCCAAATGGCATCCTTAAGGGACAGAAATAGATGTTCTTTTGAATTCTGGGAGCAAAATGAATTATGAAAGGGAAGATCAGTAGTGTGGGGTGGATAAGGCAAGAGCTCTGAATAAAACTCCGATAGGACATAAACCAAATCCACTGCTATAGAATTCATTTCAACCCATAGAACCCTATACTGGGTTTTCTGAGAATTTTTATAGAAGCAGACCGCTGCCTCTTTCCCCTGCACAGTGACTTGTGGGTTTCATTCAACAGCCAAGTTTGCGCTTAGCAGCCGGAAACCTGACCCACAGCACCGCTAGGGTGTCATCACAGGCCAAAGACTGCGGGAACAGCCAGCTTCCCTCTTGCCTGGCTTCTTAGCTGAATGGGCTGACACTGGGTAATTTGGAGACCAATTTTCTTTGTGTTTCTTTTGGCATTTTCCCCTGCTTGTTCTGTCCATAGCTTTCCCACCTTAATCACTCCTGTAGCCCCATGGCCTGAGCTATTGATTTTTAGTCTTTTAATGGCTGTCAGCTGTATCCAAGGATTCAAGGTGGATCCTCAGTAGAGATTTCCAGGGGAGAAGTAAGCACGGCTTTATGTGGCTGCCACAGTTCTGTGCACTGGGAATTCTGTCTAACCAAGGGAAAGTTCTGTCACAGAAAAGCCGATGAAATTAGGGACCACTGAAAGATGGAGCCCATATTTAATTTGATATGAAACCACAGGTTGGAGGTTCCACCTACCCGGAGGCAGCTCAGAAGAAAAGCCTGTCGATCATTTGCTGAATGATCACAGCCAGTGACAGCGTTGTGGATCCTGCTCGATGTTCCTTGGGTCACCGTGAGTAGTAGACTCCACAGTCACGGGTTTGACTCAGTGCCACTCAGTGTCCACCATAAACCCAAACCCACTTCCACTCGTCTGATTCTGACTCACACCAACCCTATCCAGCTT